AAAAAAAAAAAAAAAAAAAAAAAAAAAAAAAAAGCCTAAACGTGCCAAAGCAAAAAGCTCACAGAGTAATACAGATTGTGTTTTGTGCTGGCAGCTCTTGGGCAGGAGTCTGCCCTGGTGTGTGGTTGATAAATTCAGTGTCAATTCACTGATTTTTTCCTTTCTCAGCAGGAACGAACTGCTAGCAGCTTCTTGATTAGGGGTGGAACTTTGTGTCCAGTGTCCGGCCTGAACCTGTGCAGCTCTTGTGTGGGCTGTGACAGTCCACACAATTCACGTGTGCATCAGTCTTGTGTCTGGAAGATCCCAATTCCTTGGAGGCGAGAGCCTTCCCTGGCTCTGACGATCCTTCTGTCGTTTCTATTCTCCAACCTGAAACATATTCGTGTATATAACATATTCATGTACAAACAACGAAAGGAAATTGGAAGTGAGGCACAAATTATACTAGGGGTGTGATGGGAGGGCCATGGTGAAATGTACTTGACCTTTAGATGGAACAGAGAAAAGAACATTTTTCTCTTCCACAGTTTTTAGCTGTCAAGCTAATCTTTACTATTATTGCTCTCCTTTTCACTCTGTTTCTTTTTTTTTTCGATTTTTTTTCTTTTTTTAAATTCTCTATTAATTACATTTTGTTCACTTTGTATCCCCCTTGTGGTTCCCTCCCTCCTCCCATCCCAATCCCTCCCTTCCTCCACCCTCTGCATGCATGCCCCTCCCCAAGTCCACTGATAGGGGAGAACTTCTTTTCCTTCTTTCTGATCCTAGTCAATTAGGTCTCATCAGAATTCACTCTGTTTCTTTAACCACAGTTTTACTCCCGGTTCTTTGAGTCTTCGGTAGGGTTGAAACTGAGCAGTGACAAACCTGGGCCCCTGAGTGTCCTCTTGACCCCTTTTCATTTTAGGACAGCTCTCAGGGAGTCAGAGGTCCTCCGCTTCCAGTGGGTCTGTCAGATCTGAGAGCACAAGCTTTAGAGGACACTGGTGGCTGCTCCTGGGAGATTCCCACCTGTGGTCCAGCAGGGAGTTTGTGGCCACTGCTGCTGGGACTGGAGCCCAGGCTGTTTGGGTGAAGGGGCCTGGCGCCGGACGTGGCCTGCAGATTCTGGGCCGTGCACACAGTCACACAAAAGAAGCCGGAAAGTGACAGGAGGAAGTTGTGCGTCACAGGGGACTGAGCAGGGGACCCTGTCTTGCCTGCCCAGCTCCGGATAGACCCGCACTCCTGCCTTGAGCGGCTCCTCGGCTTCCAATGAGACTCCTCCCGCTTCTAGGTGAGTTGGGCTGGGCCAGGGAGGCTGCAGAGCGCCCACCTGCAGGGAACCAGGGATCGCGACTTTTCACTACCTGGGGTTCAAGTGTCAAGGCAAGGTCTCCAAGGAAAACAAGCTTTCACAGGATGTTTTTCTGCTTGGCCTTTCCACTCTGGACTTTGGGACCTACGACCCAAGACTATTACCTCTTTATTCTTCCTGGAGAAATACTGAAAGTCCCCAAAGTCTCAGGCTTTGACCTTTCTTGTGATCGACCCCGAGAAACCTGGGAAATCTAAGCAGTAAAAGCTTGAGAGAAGCTCCCTGACATTTTTAAGGCTACTGCCTGCCTGAACTTTGGATTCATTTAAAACCCTGTTTTGGTGATGCGTGGGGAGAGATAATATATCACATCTTTGAAGGCAAATTAATTCAGATCTAGAAAGTATATGTAGTCTTCTGTGGGGCTGGGATTTAGAACTGATTTTGTAAGAATCTCTTGGTACCAGATAAGGACAATTTATCTAAGATGACTGTTTTCTCAACAATGGCTTTGTGATTCATCCCTGTTCCTACCAAGCTTGCTCTTACGTGGGTCTGGAACAAGACAATGAAAAGAAAGCCTATGATTTTGCTTATCATTTCCTAACAGTCCTCAAAACAATTTTGTTTGTCATGTTGGGCAGAATGTTCTGTGGCTGAGATCAATCTTTAAACAGTGTGTTGAATTGTTTTAATTTCTCCTAATACAAGATACCTTAAAAGACATTTTTTTTTGTCTTTAAAAGGGCAGAATAACAATCGCCAGAACACCAGGAGAAGGGAAGAAATGTGCTTTTCTTCTCCTAGATATAACACGTGAAATCTTAAAAATACATCATTTAGGTTGTAGAGACACACATACTTAATTTACCTTGATTCTAAAGGGAAAAAGTAACCCCGAGAGCCATGGAAGGAAAGTGCTTTGCAATCAGGCAATACCTTTGAAAGTGACCTCCTCGCTCCAATGAAGAGTGATACTGAGTTTCCAGGACAGGATGAGCTCATGGAATTTTTTTTTCTCCATTATCTTTTAGTTTTACCGAAATTTATGATGTAGTCCTTAATCTTTAGGTTTGCTCACTTTTCTGCTGTGATTTGGCTAAATAAGTCACTGGAAAATTTTTATACTTCACCTGTCTAGATGAAAATAAATAAGAGCATTTCTGGAGTATGGGTGTTTAACAAAAGGATGAGGACGTCTCCTAATTTTGACAGGTCTATGTTTTGATTTTATTTAGTGGGCTTTTCCACTTTGCTGAATTGTTCCTACACACAAAATTGCACCAAGACACCGTGTCTCCCAAATGCCAAGTGTGAAATCCACAGTGGTGTGGAAGCCTGCTTCTGCAGCCTGGGGTTCTCAGGGAATGGCGTCACGATCTGTGAAGGTAAATAATCCTGATCTCTTCTGATCGCTTGTGAGGCTCAGCTCTGAGGTGACCCCTTTCTGCTCTCCAGAAATGAACTTGCTTCACCTATCCTGTTAAGCTTGTGTGACTCAGAAGAAAATTAGCTAACCTACCAATAAGAATGAACTTCTTACGTCAAAATGTATTCTGAGTATTGATATTGATTATCCATCTTATTTTTTGTTTTGAAAGTTAAAGATTGCTCTGTCATGAACCCAAAAAGTCCAGGTACAAAGAAAAGCATTTCTAGCATGACAGCTCACAAACCCAGTCTATGTTGGCTCCTTAGATGTCTTCTGTGGTAGCTAACTACTTAAATTCAAGTTCGATGTTAAGGGTAGGAAAGAGAGTTGTGTTGTCGTGGTACACACTTATAATCAGAATACTTTGTGGAAGGGTAGCAGAAAGATTGTGGGTTTGGGGGCAAACTCACCAACACAGATCCTTTCAGAAGGAAAGAGAAAAGAAGAGAACTGTAGAGAAAAAAAGAAAGAGTAAAGAAGAGAGAGAAAGAAAGAGAAAGGGGGTAGAAGTATGGAAGGAAAGAGAGAAGTAAAGAAAGAGGTGAGAAGGGATTTCTAAAATAGATTCTGCCCATAGAATATCATGGTGGTGCACAGAGCCTGGTAGGAGGCTTCGCTGTAAGGTTCAGTTCAGAGAATTGACTGGATAAGATGAACGCCGCCTGACAGTCTAACTGGAATGACTTCTAGCTATGATAATGCCAGCCAGTGTTTCCACCTGCCAACAAGACTCATGTCCTCTTTCTTGTTCTCTGTCATCCTCAACATAGGTTACCTGTATGTAGGTCATTAGTGAAAGGTCTATACAGAGATATGGAGAAGAGGGGGAAATGTTGCAAGTCATATAAACTAGTTTCAAATATAATTAAATACAAAGTTCACATTAGAGTGATGTGGTGTTGTACTCCTAAATGTACTTAAGAGCACATGGACTTTTTCTAATTAAGCTAGGATGCTGTACTTTGTTAACATTGCATGTTGTTGCCTATAACCCAAACAAGTTGCATCTCGTGATTCCGCTTGATAGGCTCTTACAAAGATTAAATATGCAGTATATAGTAAAATCCAAACCTCATCATAATTAGTTTAATGCTTAAAAAATATACAGCAAAGATGCAGTTTGCTTAATGGTGCATTAGATCAGCCGTTTCTGTTCTTGCATCCAGCCAGAATTTGTAATATACTATTCTACAAGCACTACAAAATACTTTCCATAAATAATCATAGATTTTTTTTACTGTGTAGTTAATTGAATAACATTAAGGCAAGCTGATAGCTGAATGACCTTCAAAATATTGCTTTCAATATATCAGCATGCTTTCCCACTAATCATTGCAAATTGTTCTGTAGCACTTATAAACACCATTACCATTCTGTGATTTAGATACTTTTACCATCATGATTATCATCAACAACATCAATATATTTTTGGTTTGGGCCTTTGACAACCAATGAGCTGATAATCATGACTTTCATGACTTCTTTGAAAATACATGTTCCAACACACACTGTAGTTTCTGAAACCACTGCCATTTCTATTTAATGAAGTTTCCGAATTCACTTGATTTAGTAGTCATTATCCAGGTTTGTAAAACTGCTGAAGATTAATTTTCTTCTTTTCAAGACCTTTGTCAGTAGGTGTGCTAATATGTTCTTTAAAATTAAGCTTAAAACATTACATTTTCAGTTACTGAAAAGTATAGATTATACGTTGACTATGAAGATCCTTTGTTGGCTTTTTCATCTCTAAATAGATACATTAATTTCTTGTGCATCTTTGTCAGTAAGAAATATCTAGGTTCAGCTATATAGATGTCAAGTGATTTCAAAATAGAAGTTGTTCTCTTTTCAGGACCAAATCACCACATAATCATGATCAACACAGAATTTGATTTTTTTTTTTTTTTTTTTTTTTTTTTTTTTTTTTTTTTTTTTTTT